ACGCCTAAGCACACACCGAACATGTCCCGCGAGGTGTACCTGCGTACCGTGCTGGCTGAGCTGCGTACTCACGATCTTGGGCAAGAGAGGGAGAGAGTGGGGCTCATCGTGAGCATGGACCGCAGGATGGGAGAGGAGGCGCTGGGGGAGGTTGTAGGCCTTGCACGAAAACTGAGGAACGAGGGGGAGCCCGTGGTCGGTGTGGATCTGTGTGGGGACCCTTTGGCGGGGGATGTTGAGGTGTTTGGAAAGTACATTTTGGAGGCGAGGGAAGCGGGGTTGGGGGTAACGGTTCATATTGCCGAGGTGCGTAGCGCGTCTTCTTCCATTTTCAGAATGGAATAGTATGGTAATATGGACTACAGACGGAGAAGAACACGCCGGAGGAGACGATGAAGTCCCTGTCGTTGGTCCCCGACCGGCTCGGACACGCGACGTTCCTCAACGAGGAGGTGAAGAGGGCCGTGACGGCAAACAACGCCTGTATCGAGATATGCCTCACCTCCAATCTCTTGTTAGTATCCCTAAGCTTCTCCCATCCATCTGCCATGCGTATTGATGTTGATGTTCGCGGCAGAGAAATCACCGCAGGGAGGTACCGTGTACGAATCGAAGGTGGTACACTGAGGGAAGTAGTGGTACAAAACAAGAACGATCTATGGCATGTGCTTGTTCTGCCCGAAATACGTTCCTCTCTCTCACCCCGTGCCTCCTTTCAGAGGACTTTCACTACTGTGAATGCTTTATATAATGCAGGTATCTACTAAGCTTTTTTCTACAGCCGCATTAGCGTTGACCTGCCTTTGGCAACCTCCCAGACTACGCCCTTGTCCTGTCGCGTATTTTGCAAGACGTATACCAATGCTGGAGATAGATTTTTGTCTGGTCGTAGGTGTGAACAGATACACTGTATTATAAAACAATGGAATGATAATCAAAATCTGATTGACCACAGGCATTTTATGTGCTCCTGGTACCCTCTTGCTATTGAAATACCTCCTTGTTTCTCCATGTGGTCTATGATTCCTACATGCCACGCGCAAAGGTAATGTCATGAGGCGAATAGGTGTGCATGAGTCGTTGTTTCCAAATTTCCCCACACCTGTTCGAGAGATGAATATAGCTCGATGCTCCAGAAGGGAGGTACGATGTGATGATTCCGTCTTATCTAGGAGAGGCTAGCTCAATGCAACAAACAGCGCTTCTTCAAGATGTGATGGAATGCTAGTTATGTCCCAATGCTACCATAAAAGTTGTCCAATCCAATGTGAAACAACTTCTGACGGTTCTCACTACCCCAACCCCCAAATTCGACTCGTGGAAGATTCCCTTTCCTCCTCTTTTACCCTCGTGATATTTCATTCCATTGCAAAGTCACTGACAATCAATCCTCAAGGGACCCCCTTCCTGAGCCGCAAAAGGCTATATCATCGACATCGGGTATTACTGCTACCCTTACTGTCACTAGGCACGCGCACAAAGCTCTTGCTGCCATGGTTTTACCGAAAAGTTTAGGTTCCGGTACCCCACTCACCCCTTGGAAATTCGGGCCCGATCCATCTTCGACCACTTTCAAAGGTTTGCCAGTGACATCCGGTAAAGCCGCTAGTACTGAGATCGGGCCAAGCAATTTCAGGTTCCGGTATCTCAGTCACCGCTATAGTATTCGGGCCCGATCCACCCTCGGCCACTTCCAAAGGTTTGCCAGTGACATCCGGTAAAGCTGCCGGTACTGAGATCGGGCCAAGACCCCTCCTTTTCCCAAACAGCTACCACGAAAATTTCAAGTTCCCAAATCAACTCAACTTCGAGTGATGTCTCCGTGTCCATAGGCACATCCCTCCCTAGCACACAGTCCCTTGCCTCGCCAAAGGCAGTACCCATCGGGGTGATCGTAGGCGTAATTTCCGCTGTGGCCGTCATGATCCTAGTGGTATTGGGGGTGTTCTTTATCCGGCGATCGCGGAGAAAAAGTAAGTTTGACGCTCCGTGACGCCGTTGCAAATCTAATGAGCAGCTTGGAAGATCAACTAGTGGCACTTTATCCATTTGACAGATTTCCGACCTCAGTTGATCCTTCCAGCGACCCAGATCCTGTGGAGAGAATCGTTACTAGGGAACGAAACAACGACGGCTCAACTATCCTGCAATCTGTCATGCACAATGGCCCACAGCTAGCCGAAGCGAGCCCATCATTGAACACGCCACGCCTGCGGCACAAGCAGCGCCGTAACCATCCCCAAACGGAAGCCCGGCCCGCCCAGGATAATGATGCTCACTTCTTATCCCCAGTCCCGATTCACAAACCTGTCATCAGTGCCAACGAGGCCGCGAGCACGGGCGCAACTCCCGCGTCCCGAGCCGAAAACAGCCAGGGCATTGACGAGCAGCTGGTGCAATTGAGCGAGGACCAACCGACAATATCAGGAGCTGCATTCCAGCAGTTTTACTGAGAGGTGGAGATGCTGCGACACGAGGTTGGCGAGTTGCGGAGGTTGGGAGCGGATGTTCCTCCTGCCTATCCAGGGAGTAAGGATAGCAGTCAGTGACTTGTCTGTGTTGGCCCTCGAAGACAATCATTTTTCTGTATGTTTATCTGTTCTTTTGATGAGTGGAAGTAAATAAATCAAGTCCCCACATACACGGGATACGACAGGATACGCCTCCATCCCTCTAGCGGCGTTGGTGTAGGGATCGACTGTGATGGTGGGGGGGGTGGGGGCGTGGAGGGAGATGAGACTTGAGACAGTGGAGTGTGAGGTGCCAATTGGGGTGTGGCCGACTAATACCGTGACGGCGTCTAGGGCTGGAGAGGTGGTGTTTGATGTTTAGGCCTAGGGTCGATGAGAAGAGGGAGGGGAGACCTGTTTTTCTCTATCTCTGCGGATGGCAGGGAGGACGGATTATATGTAACTTATCTTTATTTGGTTGGTTATGGTATGAATTCATGATCATGGATACTCGGTGTGTCTGTCCGGCTTTGTGTGATGCTACTGTAGACGCGGCAGACTCAATTTATTTCCGTGAACAAGTTTTCTAGATAAGATAAGATCGAGTTTTTTGGGGCAGGGTTCAGTCCGTTTGTGACTCGATCCACCATGCGCTTGCCTGACTCCTGCTCTTGGCTGACGGATACACGGATACACAGATCTTGGAAGTATATAGACCACAAGTTGGGCGGTCTCAGGCATCCTATAGCCCCCACTCCTACTTTCGGTAAAAGGTGCGTTGCTCTTGGTTGAATCGGAAGGGTGGTTGGTCTTCATCTATATTCTAGCGCACGCACAGGACCCCGTCAACCCAGAAGCTTAGGCACACACATCCCCAGGAACTATCGCTAGACCTGACAGCCTACCTCACTAACGGTACGTCACTGTCCTCTTCAGGCCTCCTCATCCCAGGCGATCCCTCATTCCAATCCCCAGTGCACAATGTCCATCGCCGGCCCCGCCCTCGCCGCCCTCAACGCCCTCTCACCCTCCCAGCTCTCCTTCATCCGCTCCCTCCCAAAGGCCGAGCTCCACGCACACCTAAATGGCTCGATTCCCATCGCGCTTTTACAGGACCTCGCGCGGGAGCACCGCACCTCTACCTCCTCCCCTCCATCTGATTTGTCAAACGAAGCGATCCAGAAAGGAATCGACGCGCTATTGACGGGCCCCGCACTGAACGAGATCAGTGACTTCTTCGGGCTGTTCCCCGCCATATACGCGCTCACAGAGACCCCGGAGGCGCTAGCGCGTGCTGTAAGCGCGGTGCTGGGGTTGTTTCTAGATGGGGAGACCCCGCAGTGCGCATACCTCGAGCTCAGGACGACGCCCAAGCACACGCCGAACATGTCCCGCGAGGTGTACCTGCGCACCGTGCTGGCTGAGCTGCGTATTTACAATCTTGGGCAAGAGAGGGTGGGGCTTATCGTCAGCATGGACCGCAGGATGGGGGAGGAGGCGCTGGAGGAGGTCGTAGGCCTCGCACGAAACCTGAGGGCGGAAGGGGAGCCCGTGGTTGGTGTGGATCTGTGTGGGGACCCTTTGGCGGGGGATGTTGAGGTGTTTGGAAAGTACATTTTGGAGGCGAGGGAAGCGGGGTTGGGGGTCACGGTGCATATTGCTGAGGTGCGCAGCGCGTCTTCTTCCATTTTCAGGATGTAATAGTATGGTAATGTGCACTGCAGACGGAGAAGAACACGCCGGAGGAGACGATGAAGCTCCTGTCGTTCGCCCCCGACCGGCTCGGGCACGCCACCTTCCTTGATGAAGATGCGAAGCGGATCGCCGCGACGAACAACACCTGTATCGAGATATGCCTCACCTCCAATCTCCTGTTAGTATCCTTAAGCTTCCGCCATCCATCTTCCATCAATATCGATGTTGACGTTCACGCCTGCAGATGCAAAACCGTCCCAACGCTCGACGCGCACCACATACAGCACTACCTCAAGCACGGGCACCCCGTCGCCATCTGCGTGCGTCCTCCTTCCCCATTCCTTACATTTTCTGACATACAATCACAGACGGACGACGTCCTCCCCTTCCGCACCACCCTCGAAGCCGAATACGCGCTCCTCCTCGCGCCGGCACCGCTCGGGCTCGGGCTTTCAGAGGACGAGGTGCGCACGCTTGGCGAGATGAGTTTGAGGTCGAGGTTCGGGGCGCAGTAATGTGATTCATGTAGACACTCTAGCTCAGAATATAATCTGTTGGAGGGGAGTTCCCTGCTTATATAATATAATGAGACCTCGAAGGTGTTCTGAGGTGGTGACTTTCTCCATTTCCCAACGAACGCCACATACTTGATACATGATACCAAAGCGCAGAGGGACAGCTCACTGTTTATCTATATCCACATGGCAATGACGCGTGTGGAGGATATGCCTCCCGTAGTCGGTTTTGTTAACACAAAAATATATATGATTGTATTTCTTTATGCTGCCGGCGGGTACGTCCCCAACCCCATAGGAGAAAGAGAAAGAAAATTTTGCTAATGAACAAATATCCCTACTGTCCCAGAGAGACTTGAACTCTCGATCTTCCGATGTATATCGATAGGAACGATTACATGGTATAACAGTCGGACGCCGTAACCAACTAAGCCATGGGACATGCACTTTGGAAAAAGCGATGTTCTCTCTCGTCTATATTTCAGCTGATTGAGCCGGCTACGAGGGTGGATACTTCTCAACATTCACAAGCCATGATGCATTTGGATAAGCCGTAGCACGGGGACGGCAATGTTTAAGTATAGGATCGAAGAACAGCTAGTCGGTATAGCAATCGAGATAGCTTTTCCGGAAACAAGGCTGGCACACATGTTAACAATTTTTTCTTACGACGCCAACCATCTTTTTGGGGCTGTTCGGAGCGCCCACGGCTGATCGGAGACCGACGAGGCGAGCCCAAGCGCCGCAGGGGAACCATCGGGCCTAGGAGGGATCATGGCATGCCCTGTGTTGACGAGAATGGACCGCACCTGACCGAGCCAGTCCTGAGCTTGCCGATGAACCTTGATGTCAATGAAGGGCATGCAGGCAGGTCGGAGGCACTCCGCGCATGCTCCAGGAGAGTCGTGATTGGACGAACTTAGAACGGTACAGTCGCTTTGATGTCCGAGAAGAATGAGCCGGAACGGAGAAGTGGAGGAGAGAAATTCGCGATGGGGCTTCGGACCGGGATGTGAGCCAGGGGCTGTACAGAATTAGAGAAGTCGGAGACGGTCTCATAGTAGTCAAGACTCAAAACACAGGAAACAAGTGTTTCATAGCCAGCGTTAGAATTCTTAACAACAACCAGACAGGCTACACAATTCCCAGTGTGTGATCTTGATTCATCCTAGCCCCTCGCCCCCATCGTCCCACAAAAGCACTCTTGCCCTCAAAACTACAATCACAATCATCGGGTGGAAGTTGGCAAAGAATCGACGCTGTCATCAAGTTAACGCCCGCAAGCCCCGAGAAAGGCCTTTTACACGGCTGCGTGTCGAGTGAATCCTGAATACATGTTGGGTGGACATCGTTGTGGCGCTGCGTGCCATCCCTGTACCGTGACTGTTCGCAGCCATAGTCTGCCGATCGTTATCAGACGTACTACGGCCTCGGTTTGAAATATCAAAACAATTTTCCTGAGGTCTTGGGAGTTGTGGAAATAGCTCAAAAAGTTCTTCTGGTATGGAAAATAAGCAGGTTGTACTGGTAAAGAAGTAAAGAAAAAAGGTTGGACAGGGGCGTTCATTGGTGACCAATCAAGAGAATGAACAATTGGATTGAAAATCAGAGTGTGACGAAAATAGGATCAAAATACATAGCGGGGACGAAGTATGGACTTGTTCGCTATCAAAATAAAACAAGTTCACTGAGTAAATTCAATGGCATAGTACGGGCGGTCTCGAATCCTGACATCTCCATTTGCTTCCACTTCCCCACTTCAAACGATTGTGGCATTGTTAGCCGTAAAGGGGAAACGGAATGGGCGGGACGGACGGGTCGGGTTCAGGAAGTGGCGCAATGCTCCATGTCCCATTCCTCCTGATAGCTTGATTGAGCGTCCCATTATCCTGATCAGCGTCCATGAACGTGACCGTGATGATGTTGTTGACCTGGTCGATACTGGTAGAGAGGGATTTGATGCCCTTGGAGACATGTACCCCCAAAGTCGTGACACACTCCGAGCAGCTGGCACCGCCCTTCCAGGACGTGGCGGAAGACCAATAATATTCGCTGAGAACCCAATCAGGGGATAGGAAGAAGACATGGACCTGTATCACGGCACTTTATTGTCAGCCCCAATGTTTAATGAGTCAAAATAATCAGGACTTTCCTCAATGAACCCTGGGCCCAGAATCCCAGCAGAGATCGACGTGCCCGCGAGCACTTCAGCTGCGGGGACGATGTCGATGGGGGATGGAATTCCTTTGATAAAGCCGGTGTCAAACGGTCCAGTGATGGAATATTCGCTGATCGTTCCCGACTCCGGCTGGGAGTAAAGGCGAGAGTCACCATCGCCAGCTGGGTTCATGACGAGGGCGAAGTCGGCCTGGGTAGAGAAAGTCACAGATGCTGGGGCAGTCGGAGCGCCTATGGCGAACAGAATGAGGGCAAAAGCCTATATTTGAGAATGAGTCGATGCTGAGATCGCGACTGGAACAGAACAGAACGTACGATGAATATCTTAGAGAGCATTGTGTATGGCGATGTCGGTTCTTGGGAATTTTCTGTATGTTCTTGCAGCAGTCCGTATGTTCTTTTATACGTGGGAAAGCCTGCTTATGCATAGTCATTCAATTCAAGCTTCCTGCCAATGTTGTCAACTTTTTAGCGGAACATACGAATAGAAGACTGTCGGTGGCGCTCACCCAATGATTATGGAATGGAATGGAAGCGCGACTTAGCGCACTAGAGCACCAGCAACGTCTGGAACACGAAACCTCGATTTTGGTACGATATACTCTGTCCGCCAATAGAAAGATAAACTGAATCGGCAGCGAGGATGCCTTGGGAGAGGAATATGAAATCTCAGGCAAAGCTCGGAAGGTGGTGTCATTGGGGTGAGGGAAGCCCTGTGAGCCGCATCTCAAGCGCCGCAGGCTCAACGTCGGCATGTTGCCATTCTTATTTGTACACGGTCGCTACTAGAGTGTATCTAGAAGGATTGAAAAGGGGATCAACGACAGATGAGGTGTAGTGGGTCGGCCTAGCGGAGCAATTAGGCAGGTGCCCCGGGCCTAAAGTGTCATAATAACGCAGGAATGAATGAGAAATGCACCAGAATCCACGGAGATTAGCAGGGGAGACTCACCAATATATTGTCAAGGGCAGATGTGTCTCCCTGGAAGCGTTGGGGAATGGTCTAAGATACACGTAAGCAAGAAACAGGCCAACGTAGAAGGGGAAAATGGTGCATGTTGAATGTGCACCCTTTCAAGCAGCAGAACGTTAGCAACCGCAACAGATTAGACAAGCTCAGCTGAAGCTTGAGATCTAGAAGGTCCGATAGGCGTAGATAGGCGTATCTACTGGCACGAGTGATACTTGTGCACGTGAGTTTGGTTACTATTACGCAGATGCCTGTGTCTGGCTCGCCGGATGAGAGGGGGAGGCCCGGCAGGTGAGCGGATTCAAGTTAGCTAGATGACAAGGAACAATGTCGTCAATTGCCCCATCAATTGCCAGTGATTGGACGACGTGGCTTGTGCGTCGCCGTCAACACATCAATTTCATGATCAGGTCCCAGAAGTTATCCCGGGCCACCCGGCCTTCCCCTTTCACATCACAATTCTCACAAATCCTTTTTCAGTGCTTCAAGCTTGAACGTTTCAACCACGAAGCACTTACCGTTAATGTGTGTGTACACGTTCTCATGCCACAAAGGATCATAACTGATGACGCAGGCTCCCTACCACGGCCCCGTTCCACCATTCTATAAAAACCCGCACCAGAACAAACCTCTCAGACGCCACAACTCACCAAGCCCGGGCCCTTGCCGGTTCTGGCGTACATAACATATCGGGCCGGGTCAGGACCGACTGCCGAGTTCTGGATAGGGACTTTGGTGTGCAACAACTTCCCATCACCGCGATTGTAATTAGCACGACTGCTACTACGACTCACAGGAACCTAACAAAGCCACCTAGTACCTCTTGTCCATCACACACCTCCTTCCCATCATTTTTCTTCCCCGAGCTGAGCACGCTTACAATCTGAGCCTCGTTTGCTCTCGGAAACAAACAAGGCTGGCACACGTGTCAACATTTCTTTATGTCATGTCAACTATTTCTTTGACGTTGTTCACTGCCCTTCCCCGAACTACGCTATACGCTATACCCAAAAAGCGCCACCAGCTGTTCGCTCACAAACCTCACGCATTCATGACACTCTAGATCTGCACGATCGCAAAATGACTCTTCCGCAGATCGCACAATACATTGACACGACACTGGCATAGATTGGACACCCCGATCCGAGCGCCCCCACGAGCATCACGGTATGAATAAGGCCACAATAAACTACCATTCTTCTATGTCCCACCCGAATTTTAACGCTCAAAAGACTGTTACAACACGTGCTGAACAAAGCCACCTGGTACCTCTTGTGTATCACTCACACACTGCCTTCCTGTCACCCATTTTTTTGGTGCAGTTCACCGCCTTGCCACCGATAGCTTCCCTAAACTACGCTATACCCAAGATGTGCCACCACCTGCTTGCTCACAAACCCCACGCATCTCCGCCACCCATTCATGACTCTAGATCTGCAGAATCGCAAAAAAAAAAAAAGACTCTTCCGCAGATCGCACACGACAAAGATTGGATACCACGATCCTCCGAGCGCCCTCACGATCATCATCGACATCTTATTCGTCTGGTGGCAACGGGGTGAACAAGGTAATGGCATCAACTACCATTCCACCTGAATTTTGACATTCAAGACTGTTACAATATGTGCTGTGATTCTTACATCACTCCGCGCTGCACACACGGCCCCGGGATCGTGTAATATCAATGACCACACCCTTGTTTTGCCACCCCCCCAGTTTAAGCATGCTGCGTTGTACAGTGCACCGCCTTCTCAGCAGCCGAGTTCCTTGTCCTTATTTGCAGACTACAGGCGCTCAAACTCAACAACAAGGCCTTACGTATCCACCGCCGCACGACTGGCGTGTCTCGAGCTCACATGCTCTTGCAACTGCTCGCTAAAAACCCCCTTTTTATCCTTGTCTTTTGTGATGTTGTTCGACAATCCGGCTAGCCTGTGCACCACCCTTTCACCACCTCGCGCGTTTTTCGAAGATTACACGGCGCAATACACTCTCGTCCAAACCGGCCCCCAGATCCAAACTTCCCAGAGATCTATATCTCGTTGTTTCCTTGCGGGGCAACGAGCTGCGCTGCGTTGCATAAAGCCACGCGCGCTTCTATAGATTACCATTAAATGCCACATGTATATAATCGGCGTACCTTCAAGTTTTTCCACCGGTCCCTGATCACTGATTTGCTCTCGATCGTAGTGGGGCCCACAGATCTGCGTATTTTTTCCCGGGAGGGTCAACCAGTGAGAGTCGGTGAATTGGGGCTGCACAAAACACTCGCTAGTGGCCGAGTCCCTTGATCA